CTGACGATCCCCAAGTCTGGGCAGAAGACTTGTGTCGTCGCGGGCACAGCTTGGTGCTGTGTTCCAGAGAAGGACCTGCTCTGGAGGACTACAGCAGGGCCCTTGAGCTCCACAGGGAGCAGACCGTCAAATGCGTGGATGAAGGTCTGGGGGGGCTACGTGTTGCTGAGTGCTTTTTGAGGGGTGCCCTGCAGCACTATGGCGAGCAGCAGCTCAGCAAAGCTTGGGCCTTGATCGAGTGCGGCCTCGTTTTGGACGGAAACAATGCAGAACTGCGACGACTGAGGGCAAAGGTCAAACGTGAAGTTGCCAGCCCCTGTAATGTCAATTAGTGAGTCCACAAAACAATTGGTCACCCAGTACACCATCTTTTGTGACAGTGGTTTGGGCAAAACGAGATGTAAGACATAATGCTGTGTCGATATACTAAACCAATTACTCTTCCCTACCTGAACTTGGGGCCAATTAAAAGATTAAAGGTTCAGATATGATTGTGGTGCATCACATCAATCTGACATCCCTCCTTCTACCCAGCATTTCTAGCTCTCTCGCACTCTTTTCTCGTGTAGAGTTGAACAGGTGAGACGAGGAAATCTCGGCAAAATATTGGTGGCTTGGAAGAACATAACGTAGACTCCAAAGTTTCCAATGTGGAAAAGTCTCTGCTTTTGCACCGCATCATGTTCAGTGCGGATGACTCAGTGGTTGCCTTCCATCAAGTATCCCTTTTCTCTCATTTGGAACAAAATGTGGAATATGATTGTTTCTTTTTTAGTGGAGATTAAACTCACTGGTCACTGTTTAGAAAAAATACTGTCGTTGCCACAGTGGTCATAAAAGCCGCTCAATATCGCGGCCAAATTGTTTAGTTGCCAGCGCTGCACTTTTGTAATTCTTCTGTTTGCAGCCTTGTTGGGAGTAAACAGCAACAAAGAATAAATATTGAATTTAATTCAAATGACTTTGGTTACATTTCCGTCGATTGAACGGGTCATGCATATTTAGGTTGAAATGTTTAAAATACAGCTGATCCTCTTGGCATTTAGAGATGTACATGGTAGTTTATTTGGATGTTTGATTGGTGTCGGATGAATAAGATGGAAAATGTTTGAATAGAAATAACACAGTGCACTCCTTCATGCACAAGTGCATACAGACTCACAACTCCATTGAAACACGGATCGTTGCAGGAAAATGGTTACATTGCCGTCAATTGAACAGGTCATGCATATTTAGGGTGAAATGTTTAAAATACAGCTGATCCTCTTGGCATTTAGAGATGTACATGGTAGTTTATTTGGATGTTTGATTGGTGTCGGATGAATAAGAGGGAATAGAAATAACACGGTGCACTCCTTCATGCACAAGCGCATACAGAGTCACAACTCCATTGAAACACGGATCGTTGCAGGAAAGCCTGATGTCTTGATCAAACAAAATGCGTTCCCGTGAGAAGGAAGCACTAAAACTGGGCTATTTTGTCTTGACGCAAATACGTTGTGCCATAGTTTCAAAGGCAATTTACAGGTTCTGTTATTATTTTATATGTATCATTTGTCTTGTTCTCTGTCAATTTGGGTGCATTATTTTATGTACTACGTTCAAGGTCCTGTCAAAAAAAACAACAAAAAAAACAAAACAAATAAAGACAAATAGAGCTTATTCGAGATATTTGCTGCAGCTTTTAATTTATTCATGAACGAACTGCATCCATAAGCCCTCGATCTCAGCGCGTGGACTGATTAGTTTCTAGATGCGCAAGCCAAACAGATTGATTCTATCACACAATAAGAAGGAAGTCACACAGCATTGTTTGCTTCAAACCAACACATCTAAATAAGAAAGTGTCCAATGTGCAGGTCTGCAGCTTTTAATTTATTCATGAATTGAACTGCATCCATAAGCCCTCAATCTCAGCGTGTGGACTGATTAGTTTCTAGATGCGGAAGCCAAACAGATTGATTCTATCACACAATAAGAAGGAAGTCACACAGCATTGTTTGCTTCAAACCAACACATCTAAATAAGAAAGTGTCCAATGTGCAGGATTTTACACTTTTAAATTAAAGGAGGCACAATTCCCATTCAATCCACAACGCTTCATAAAATCAGATTACGTTTTTACCTAATCCGGTTAATGGGAAAAGCGCAATGAATTTAACCTCATTGGCCGAGGTAATTACCGTACATACTAACCCAGATTCCAGATCAGTTCCACACAACCTTATAAAATTGTGAAGCAGGCATGAGGCGTAAATGTCAGTGTATTCGTTTGAGAAGCTGAACGAAACGTAATTTTAGGGACAGTTTCTTCGGTCATTTTGAAAGAAAAAAAAAAGTTTGCTTTAAAGTCTCTTCAAAGAGGGAAGACCTCGGCTAAGAAAGAAGTGAGCAAAATTGTTTTCACGCTGAGAATAAGCGGTTCAGATAATAAATGAATGGATGTCTTGCAAATGGCAAGACGTTAGCCTCTGCCATTTGAGGCACTGTATTTGCAGTATCATCCCACAAAGGAAATGGGTACTGGTATCGATTAGCAGACTCGCACTTTCCGCGCGGCAATAAAAGTTATTACAACAGTTACATAGTGACAGGTAGTGCCAATATCTTTTAGTAGCGGCTAAAATTAAGTTGAGGCAGTAAATGTATATGTGGAAACCACTTCAGCTGGGATATTTTATTTAACGGAGCCGATCAATGATGTGAATTAAAGATCATACTTAAAGGTGATACAGCCGATCAAAAAATGTGCATAAAATGCCAAATATCGACGGATCCAGTCAAGCCAATTATATCTATGTAACGTCAACTTTTTTTATGACTGTATAGGATAGTTGTTTTTTTTTTTATTATAATTTAAAAATGTAGTTTAAGGGGACATCGACCAACCCTACAAGTGTAACTATGTAAGTCAATCTGATAAGAAAAGTGACGTAAACAAAAAAACTGTACAGCTGCAATTCTAAGCTAAATATTTTTAAAAATTTAATTAGCAACAGAAGCAACAGCGATGATCAAAACCTGGTGGACAGCCATTGCTAAGCTACTCAACTGAATCAGAATGACGGCAGTCATCCTGACAAGTTGCGTAGTGTAATGTCACCACTGGTTTATGACACATGAGAATGATCTTTTTTATTTATTTGTAATTTTTTTAGGCAAACCTCCATACCCGTATGGGGATGATGTGGCTAGGACAGTGGACCACAGGCAGGCCCTTATCCATGAGCAGCTGCCTCATGTGTTTAACGTTCCTTTGGTGGGCTCTGCGCAGGGATTGCCCCTCGGGGCCCCTAAGGACCCGCACGGACTCCAGGGCTCCGGCCAGCACCATGGGGGGCAGGGCGGTGGTGAAGATGAAGCCAGCTGCAAAGGATCGCACTGTGTCCACCAGGGCGGCGCTGCTGGCGATGTAGCCTCCCACACAGCCGTAGGCCTTGCCTGGCAGAGCAGAATGTTTGTGAGGTCAGAGGACACATTTAACTTGAAATACAGGATATATATTTCACTGAAGCAACCGTTTTCTATTTCAGAGGGGGCTTATTCACACAGTAAGATGGTGAAAATGGTGGTTCAGCTCCATTTGGATCATTCCTTGAGATAAAATTTGTCGTAAGTTGAGACCCGACATAAAACTGAATGAGAAAGTAGCACTTGCGTGCACTTGTGGTGTGGTGATGCAAAACAGCACGAAGGTTCAAAAACAGGGGTGGGCAAAACATGGCCCATTTATATTTTTAGATTCCTGTAACATGTGTTATATGAGTTTGATTGCATTCAAAAATGTAACAAATTCCAATGTTTAGTTTCATTTTTCTCATTAACTAATACGGGTCATTTTTTTCAATCAGAGATGAAAGTAAACTTTAATGCATATTTAATTTTCTGCGCAGATTCTGAATCTGCACACTTTTTTTTCTCAAGGGCATCAGGTTTTCATAATAATAATTGTCATCATCATCATCATCATTAGCATAATAATAATAATCATCATAATAATACCACAGCAAATGTATATATAGTACAGCAACATTTATGAATTAATGGTTAGGTTCAGCAACAGGAGGAATTTCTTTCTGAAATGTCAAATGACTCTAAATTTCAACGCATGGTAAAATCTGTGTTGCGCAAGCTTTTGTAGGTTAAAGATAAAAACAAATGTTAAAAATGTCTCAAAAACTTGATGTTCTAGAAAAAAAGTCATGATATATATAGATATATCTATATATATATAGATATATAGATATATCTATATATATATATTTTTTTAAATCAGCATCAAAAACCCTTTTAGGGACACAAATAAAGCCAAAATTTGCTCTTGGCTAGGCTTATGGGTTAACAGTCATGCAAGTTTCTTTCCTATGAAAACCTTCCAACTGTACTTGTACGATAATGTGTCAAAATGTGGGTTTCGCCAGTACACTTTAAGCTAAAAGTTTGAAGTGAGCATAAAAGTATCGACGCCTCCTCTGATGTTATTTTATCAGCAGAGTCACGTTTGGATCATTCCTTGAGATAAAATTTATCTTAAGTTGAGACCCGACATAAAACTGAATGTGGGTTTCGCCAGTACACTTTCAGCTAAAAGTTTGAAGTGAGCATAAAAGTATCTACGCCTCCTCTGATGTTATTTTATCAGCAGAGTCACAGCGGGAGTCGCGCTGGCGCCCTGCTGATAAAACCTCTGATTCCTGTGATGCGAACGCCTCCTCTTTAGGCCCTTTGGTGTGAGTTATCAGAGCTAAATTGGCTCTTGGACAGTGACGGTTAGGCCGAGTGGGTGCGAGTGCGACTTTTGCCAAGAGCAGTGTGCAGCCAAGTGAAAACAACATTAAATAGTGACCTCCACATGAGACGCTCACCTAAAGTCCCAGACACAATGTCAATCTTGTGCATGACGCTGTCCCTCTCCCCAACTCCGGCTCCATGGGCTCCATACAGGCCGACGGCGTGAACCTCGTCAACAAACGTCAGAGCTCCGTAACGATGAGAAACATCGCACAGCTCCTCTAATGGACAAATGCCTCCTGAAATCGCACAGGTCAGGGAAAGTAGGAAATTAGAGTGTCGGATGCCCAAGTTGAGATGATCAGGAACAATTCAATCATTAAAAAGTCCTCCCACAAGACACAGTGAAGGACAACAAAAAATTTTTGAATCGTATAAAAATCACACACTCCCAATGTTTTCATCCCATTTTCTTATGAACTGAAATAGTTTGACCGATGCGGGTATGGAACGTGGTTATCGTCCTCTGTCTGTCTCCAATTTCAATTGCAAGAGAATATTTGGCGAGCCTCACCGTCCATTGAATGCACTGTCTCAAATGCGACTATTTTGGGCGTCATTGGGTCCGAGCGCTGCAGAAGCTCCTCAAGGTGTCGACTGTCGTTGTGACGAAAGATGAAGCGCTGGGATCCGCTGTTCCTGATGCCCTGAATCATTGAGGCGTGGTTGCCGGCATCCGAGTAGATCTCGCAGCCTGTGAATGGGACAGCAGACGCACACTGTCAATCGCTCATTTGTCATTCACGTCGTCAGCAAATGATTCATCTATCCCACTGGTGTCCAAACTACGGCCCAGGGGCCTTTTGCAGCCCACCATTCATTTTCTAGCAACCCTCAGCATGCTAAAAAAAATAAAATAAATAAACAAATGTTGACTTTTGGCCCGGTGGTCAACTGGTTAGCGCGTTGACCTCAAAGTGCAGAGGTGGCGGGTTCGTTTCCAGCTTCCTGTGTAGAGTTTGCATGTTCTCCCTGTGCCTGCGTGGGTTTTCTCCGGGTACTCTGGTTTCCTCCCACATTCCAAAACGTGCACAGCAGGCTGATTACACACTCTAAATTGTCCCTAGGTGTGAGTGTGAGCGCGGCTGGTTGTTTGTCTCTGTGTGCCCTACGATTGGCAAGCAACCAGTTCAGGGTGTCCCCCGCCTACTGCCCGAAGACAGCTGGCATTGGCTCCAGCATGACCGCGACCCTTGTGAGGATAAGCGGATCAGAAAATAGATGGATGGATGGACTTTTGATGACACATCCTCCCATGGGATGTGCCTGACAACTAACGCTAATAGTAAATTTGACCGATGGACCTTTTGTAGATATGCAAAGAAATGATTTAAAACTGAAATAGTCACAATAATAATGCCTCTTGAAATAACGCATTTCAGTTTCAGAAGCAAAAAATGTGTTCCTCCGCTTTCTGCTGTCTGTGTCAAGGTGTGATTTGTGAACATATCATATTAAGGATTAAGGTCCTCATGTAAACACAGATTTAAGCATTGACAACTTATAACCAATCACTCTTATCACCACTCACAGGGCACATGTTGTATACAAAGAAATATGGATGGATATAACTGGCAAGGAATACGGAACTATTGATATCCATAACGGCATATCATCCAAAATCAACAGCATGTCTTGTTTTGAAATGTCACAGTGGTGGTTATACTGCACCTGGCAGCATTCTGGCCAAAGTGAAGAGGGTGATAAGCGGATCAGAAAATAGATGGATGGATGGACTTTTGATGACACATCCTCCCATGGGATGTGCCTGACAACTAACGCTAATAGTAAATTTGACCGATGGACCTTTTGTAGATATGCAAAGAAATGATTTAAAACTGAAATAGTCACAATAATAATGCCTCTTGAAATAACGCATTTCAGTTTCAGAAGCAAAAATTGTGTTCCTCCGCTTTCTGCTATCTGTGTCAAGGTGTGATTTATGAACATATCATATTAAGGATTAAGGTCCTCATGTAAACACAGATTTAAGCATTGTCAATTTATAACCAATCACTCTTATCATCAATCACAGGGCACATGTATACAAAGAAATATGGATGGATATAACTGGCAAAGAAGACGGAGCTATTGATATCCATAATGGCATATCATCCAAAATCAACAGCATGTCTTGTTTTGAAATGTCACAGTGGTGGTCGGACTGCACCTGGCAGCATTCTGGCCAAAGGG